GGTGCTTTTTTGGGGGGTGGGGTGGGGAGAAAGGAGCCAGGACTCCCTGTTTTTGGTTTGGTTTGGTTTGGTTTTCTCCCGGATTTGGGAAGAAAAGGGCAGGACTCCTGGGCTCTCTTCCTGGTTTGGAGGAGAAAGTTTGTTTTCCAGCTTTGGGGAAGAAAAGGGGCAGGACTGCTCGGTTCTTTCCCCCGGGAGTGGTGGGGGAGAAAGGGGTAGGATTCCTGGTTTTTGCTGTTTTTTTTGGGGGGGGGGGGAGTAGGACTTTTGGGTGTTTTTCCCAGATTTGGGGAGAAAAGGGCAAGACTCCTGGGTTCTTTTTTGGGGGAGGGGAGAGGAGAGGGAGGGATGGAGAAAGGAGCTGGACTCCCTGGGGGTCCTCCCCCCCCTTCCCCGGATTTGGGAAGAAAAGGGCAGGACTCCTGGGCTCTTTTCCTGGTTTGGAGGAGAAAGGAGCCAGGACGCCGGGTTTGTTTTCCAGCTTTGGGGAAGAAAAGGGGCAGGCCTCCTGGGTTGTGCTCCAGGTCTTGGGAAGGGAAGGGCCGGGACGCCTGGGTGCTCTGCCCAGCTCCGAGGGGGGATCAGGGCACCCGGGGAAAGGTGACGCGCAGGACTCCTGGGTTCCTTTCCAGCTCCAGGAGGAGCCGGGCCTCAGGCAGGTCCCTGGTAGCCAGGACGCCTGGGTTCCCGCGGGGTTATCTTTGTGGCCAGGTGACATCCACCAACCATTTCAACAGCGATACTGGCTACTGGATGCCGAGGGAGTATCAGCCCCTAGAGTTTTTTGCAGATGTTCACTTTTGAGAATTTCAGTGCCTCAGTTTTCCCACTCTGTAAGATGGGGCTAATGCCAGGGAGGGTGAGGCATCCCTCACTCATGTTTGCACAACAGAGGGGAGCCCCCCAAGTGCTGCCGTCCTTCAAGAGCGCTGGCCTCCCTCGCTCACTAGCCTGGGTGCCATGTGTGACAAACCCCGCATAGGTACAATGCCATGCCCAGGTACATCACACCTCCTGGCGTGGACGTGGAGCCACACAGGCTGGTGGCTGCTGTCTTTGAGGCCCTGCGTGTCTGTGTAGCCCCTCCAATACAGTGGAGGTGGCTTCCAGCACGGCTGTACCGAACTTGCTTGCTGTGGCTATAAGCAGGATGCTGGTATCTATGTGCATGGACTTTAAGATTTCTTGGGAGCATTATGGCCGTCTTCTCTGGCCTGTGTCATGCTGGAGGTCCCAGAAAAGTCCATCTAATAATCCTCTCATTAAGCCCGTAACTTTGGAGGGAAGCTAGAGCATTAACAAGCTCTCCGGTGCTAATCTAAAGACTAACGGAGGATCCACTCCCTCCCTAGGGAAGTTGTTCTCATGGTTATTCGCTATTAAAAGCCCGTGCTCATTTCTTTTCTGAATGCACGTAGCTGCATCCGCCAGCCACTGGATCCATCTCGTCCTGATTAAAGAGCTGCTAGATTAACGAGCTGTCTCTCTTTCCCAGGTTACATCCTGATCAAAACGCATCTTTAACCTTCTGTGGATCAGCTACAAAGAAATTTGGACTGAGAGTCTCCTCTCAAAAAAAAATTTTTTTTAAATGGCATATTTTTCCAGATGTGGAGCGATTCTTCCCTTTCCCAATAAAAAAGCACCTGCTCCAGATGTGGGGTGATTCTTGCAGCTCTTTTCCGAGCCCTCTCCAATGAACTTGCTTTTTATTTTTTCGGATGTGTTGACACCCCCGGGGCACAGATTTGCTGTCGTGGGTGTGACTCCAGCCAAAAAAAGTAAAGCCCCTTTCCCTATCTCAGCAGTGCTGGTGAATCCATCGTGTCCAGGGGTATTTTGTCCTTGTGACCTCCCATCCCTGCTAATGGCCGGCCATCTCAGAGGCACGTGCCAGCTTCTTCGTCTATCCTGTACTTCATTTCCCCCTTTACACATCCTTAATGTGGCAGAGCCACGTAACTGCTTTATCACTGATGCTTGCCAGGTCCTCATCCCGGGTGCGCTGCACACAGGAGGAGGCGGCCAGCAGTCTGGGATGCACGTATAGTGCCCAAACGCTGCTGTCTGCGCTTGCTATTCCCTTGTTATCATGTAAGGTTGGCATTTGCCCTCTGAGCCAGTCTCACACTGGGAGCTGGTGGTGGGCTAGGTTTTTATCACTAAGTCCTTTCTAGAGTCACTGCAGTCCTGGACACGTACGACATCTCTTCCTAGGAGGGTGACCTGTATGACAGCATCTGATAAAATGAACCTAAGTTCACCAAAGCTTGTGTGTGCAGGCTCTCTCTTTTCTTTCTCTCTCTTATTTAGTCTATACATAAGGCCTGGTTTAAATTGCACATGTATTGTCGCTCCCCACCCCAACCCCTCGTGCCCCAGTTTTCACCCGAAGATCAATCAGCCCCTTCCTACCCCTCCCCAAGCTCCCTCCACCCCCTGCCCCTTTTGCAAACCCTCCTTCCCCCTTCCCCTGGGCTGCTAGGCTTTTGCTGCAGGATGGGAAATGCTTTCCCCAGCCTGCAGCACCCAGCTTGTTGCAATGAAACGCCATGATGTGGCTACTTGCTGGGGAAGCAGCCATATGGCATGGTTTGTGAAATCGCATTTTTCATGACAGCCACTTAGTTTTGTGATTTTCACCAAAAATGTGAAATTGCAATTTCAACCAGGCCCTATCTATAAAGGTGCATAAATACCTTGCCCTTCTGTATGACCTCTGGGTGCATTTGCCAGTATTAACTTATCTATTGCTTAAATAAACTGTTCCAAGTCACTTTGTGCACCTGCCCTGCCCTCCTCACTGTCTGCCCTTCCACCAATTTTTGTCATCCACCATCAGCGATCTTCAATTTTTGCCCCCAGACGTGGTGACAAGGTCCCAATTTTTTTCCCCCAGACTTGATGAAGAGGATTGGGGGTAGCCATGGAGGAACCACACCTGGAAAGGGTCACCATTTATAAGCACTTTAGTGGGTTTAATGCTTAATCACATTTCATCCGTTTCATAGAGGTGGGGTTGAGCGACATTACTATCAGGGTATCAAGCACTAGCTATTCTGCCAGCACTTAATTCTCCTGTTAATGTTATATGTAAGTGTGATGGGAACTCATTCTTCGGCTCTGTTCAGTCCTGGTCTTCTAAGATCCTATAACAGCATTACTTTTATTAACCAAGCTTGCCATCAGGTCAGAAAATGACATGAAGTTTATTTGATGAAACCTGGTTTCCATAGCTCTGATACTATCCTTTAATTCATCATCCATGCCCCAAATCACAAAACAACATCAGGGTAGCCACCCTAGTTATCTGGGTGATCCTGTTTCACTTTCTTAAGTATTGGCACAACGTCAGCGTTTATTCCAGTTCTGTGTCTTGCGTTAGCAACGTCAAAGCAAAGCAAACTCTGTAAAGCCAAGAGAAGTCCAGAGGGGAGCGACTAGGAGCCCTGGGCTTGCATGCAGATCTCTCCTTGCTTCCATCTTTTCCTTCCTTCTCCTGTGTGGTCTGTCTGCCTGCTTCCTTTTGGGGATGGCATCCCGCAAGAAGTTAATTGAGGGACAGATGTCATTATCGCCACTTAATTTGGCATAGCATAATGTCAGAGAGAGTCAGCTCAGGCCGAAACTCTGGAAGAAGGGGCTAGAACGGTGAATATTGCTGCTTTGTTTTGGGACCTAGCAGGGATGTACCCAGTTCTCTATAGTTAGACCATTAAGGAAACAAATGCTGATCTCTTCACCCAAACCATAGAATCACAGGGTTGGAAGAGACCTGAAGGGTCATTTAGTCCAAACCCAAAGCAATGCACTTCTGTCTTCTCATTTTTCTGACCAGCAACTGGTTCTTGCAAGCAGAGTCCAGCTATCACATGCACCCTTAAGTGTGGGGTTTTTGCTAGCGATGCACAGCAGCCAGGTGCTCTGCCCATGCACTGATGACATTCAGCCCAGGTAGCACATGCAAGCTCCCCCTGCAAGCCCTTTTTCTCCCCCCAGTATGGTCCTGAGGGAGTTTGCATGGCTATTTCTGCTCCCTTCTTTAAAAAAATAGGTTGCCCTCACATCTGTAACTATTAAAGAGTCGTATCTGTAACTTGAAGAGTTGGTGAAGTGGGGAAATGAGCAGTCCCAGCCATGGAGAAGCAGGCATGTTACCTGGATAGCCCAAGGTCTCCAGCGGTGCCTTCTGTTTCCACGGGTCTGCACATGTTTGCAACCAAAAGCCAAATTGCCCTCTGTGCAATTATGCTGGGCTGGCACTGAGGGAAGTGAGAGGAGCATTTGGCCTGCCCAAGGCAGTGATTCGAGTCTGACAGTTCATTCAGACCCCTGTTCTAATCCTGGATTTTGATCTGACATGGAGGTTTGAAGATCTCAGTAACAAACCAGATGTGGCTGTGAATGGCCCTGAAGTGCAGATCCTATCTTCTGAAGGGCCTGGACTCTCC